TACATAATCTCAGTGATTTATAAATGTTTATTATATATAGATATTGAAAAGTAATGTTGAAATTATGGAAGTATGTAAGAATTCACATAGAGCTTAAGTTAATAAGTAATTGAGATTATTAGATTGTTGTTAAAGTAGATATAATTAATATCTCCTTAAATCATAATCATTTTTCAGAATATAATACTTTTTGATGATTAATTTATCTTTTTTTTGTCAGTTTTTTTGAATATCAAATAATTTTAATATTACGAAATTAAATATCAAATTGATTCAAGATAAAGGTAAAATAATTCATAAAGTAGTATTTTTTTAATAAGTATTTTTAATAATTTACAAATTATTAATTACTTATCTTTTGAGGGCTGTTTTGATTATGATCAATTTTATAATGATTAAAATTAAATAATTTATAAAATTGATTTTAAAATGAAAATACTAAAAAGAATATACAGAAAACTTAGAAATGATTATGTCATATGGTTATCGAAGTTTTTATATAATAATAATCATTATTGTTATGGTTTAACATTTGGAGGTAAAGAAAATTGTTATTATTCAATAGTTTGCAAATGAAAATTTTAAAATTTTATTTAAAGCTTTTTTCTGAGTAAATCCGCCTTAATTATTTAATTAATTAAATTAATTTTGAGAATTCACTTAAAATTATTATTGTTATTAATCCTTTGTCTATAAATAACTCTATTTTATAATAATAACATTTTCAACCTTTTTCTATTTTCTATTTAATTCTCATTTTATTTACTCCCTATTTCTCTTTTTTTTATTGATTTTCTAATTTTAACTTGTTTAGTGATTATTGAATATTTAATATATCTTTTTTTTTCTTCATGTATTTTAACAAAAATTTTACCTCATCTTACTAGTTACTAGTGTTAATAATCACTGTTATGATTTTTACAAAATTAATTAATATCTATTAAAAATAATATCCCTTATCAACTCCTTATATTTTACAATTAAATTCAGAAATTGCACCTAAATTGTTGAATTAAAAAGGAAATAATTATTGGTATTTGATTAACATAAATGATAATCTTAATAAAATTTATCTTCTCTATAACAACCACTTAAGATAAATTGAACGATTAATTATTTAAATATATAAAAAAGCATTAATATTAGTCACACTTAAATGAATGGGTATTTTCTCTTAAATTTCCAAAATAAGTATTTTCCTAATAAAAATTTTTCAATAACATTTTGAAAATTTAAAGTTTATAAAATCAATTTAATAAAAAATAATAGTATTACTGTTAATTAAATATGAGTTGAGAAAAATATTTTTTTGTGAATATTAGAATATAATGACTCTCAAGAAATACGAAGATTAGAAAACTTAGAAATGATGAATGTTGAAAGATTTAGTTGTAGAATCTACTTTATAAATCTTGTAAAATTCACATTCTAATTATAAATTGAGAGAAAATGCTTGGTTATGATAAGAATAATACCAAAAAACAGTATACAAAGATTTAAGATATTATTGCATTCATGCAACTAAAAGTTCTATTTCATAATATTTTTAAATGTGCTTAATTAATTTCCATTTAGTAATGCTTCAAGATTGTTAAAAAGGAAAAAAACTATTAAATAGAACTCTATCAACAAATATTGGACACAGAAGAATATTAAAATAAATTTAAATTAAGGGCTAATATAGGTTAGTTTTTAAATTAATCAAGAGTTATTGTAAGAAATTATAATTTACCCAAATAATTCTCTTAAAAAGAAAGGGTTGTTTATAAAAAACTCTCTTAACCCTTGAAAAATTTAAGTCTGGGTAAACCATAATATTAGATGTATCTAAATTTTAAATAATATTCTTTTACTGCAAAGGGATGTTAAAAAAATCAGAACAATACTTGTTTTTGATATCCCATAGACGGATAGAGCCATCTCTACTACCAGAAGCTAATGTATTTCCATCAGGAGAAAGACAGACTGAGTTGATTGACTTAGTATGACCATCCAATTTATTTTATTTATTGATTGTCAAGTTGATCCATTTACAATTGAATAATATTGCTCCATTCAAATTCACCCCAACTATGTTAACATTATTAAACTCAGATCCACTTAAATTACATTGAGCAAAATTTGCTCCTGCCAAAGAAGTATTTTAGATCTTAATATATTCAAAATTTTTGTTTCTAAGGTTCAACTTCATCTAAACTATTAATATTGTATATATTTTTATTAATTTTTATATATTTTTATTAATATTTTATATATATTCTATATCTCATATTATTTTTATTAATTTTTGCTAGAGCTTATTTCTCTAAAAGAGCCCAGCATTTTCTATTTTATTTTTAATATTGAATTTCTATTACTCTAACTTTAAGTTATATACTGCAAAATCTATAAAAATATCTTGCGTATTATTGTTAATTAGAAGCTTAGACTTTGTGGAGATTTTGAATTGATTATAGAAGAGGTAGAATATTCTATAGAGAAATCATTTCAACCATTTGCATAGATTGATTCTTGAATAATTTAGAATATCTTTATATTAAATTTAGTATTTTTATTTATGTATTATTTGAGTTCCATGATTGATTAATTCATTCTTGTTGATCATCTCTGTTTAAGCATAATTAATATTTCAGTTAACAATTTAAATTTGTCTGTTCATTCTTTAAAATACATTTAGATAAGTGAAATTATGAGTAAGAGAGTTAAAGTTAAAAAAATAGATTTTTTTAAGTAATATTATATATGAGTAGTTTGTTCTATTATTTTCTTGAGGCATTCTTCTCTCCCTTTACCTCCAATAGCATACGAATTTGTCTAATTCTTATTCCAGCTGAGGTTATAAAGAAGAGAGAAAGTAGATGAGTAGGAATAAGCTTAATGAGAAGATGAAGGATGAGAAAAATGAGGAATTAAAATTATCTGAAGAATATAAGAATTATATTCATTAAGAAGATTGAATTTCTAAATTAAACAATAATTATTTATGGAATAATTGTAAATTCAATCATGTTTATAAATGTAGTTTCTTTTAATAAAGGATTACAAAATATTTATAAAGCTTTATTATTAATTTTGTAAGTTTCAACATAAACATACTTAAATACGTTAACCCAAAGATAAAATCATTGATTTTCTTCTTTTTATATATTTAGTTAGTTCTATAGATTTCTTATCCAATAAATCTAATTTTATAGAGTGCTAATTCATTATTAGAGGTGAAAAGTAAAGTATTTTACCACTATGAGATATTGGATATGTAAAATGTAACTGTTTGACAAGTTCATTAAAGAATACAGTTATTTAAAGCAAAGTAGTGTTAAGGGGTATTTTATCTAGATATTAATTAATTTAGTTAAAATCATCTTGAAGATAAAAGCGATTATATAGTTTGACTCTTTAAAAACTGTGTACATAATCTCAGTGATTTATAAATGTTTATTATATATAGATATTGAAAAGTAATGTTGAAATTATGGAAGTATGTAAGAATTCACATAGAGCTTAAGTTAATAAGTAATTGAGATTATTAGATTGTTGTTAAAGTAGATATAATTAATATCTCCTTAAATCATAATCATTTTTCAGAATATAATACTTTTTGATGATTAATTTATCTTTTTTTTGTCAGTTTTTTTGAATATCAAATAATTTTAATATTACGAAATTAAATATCAAATTGATTCAAGATAAAGGTAAAATAATTCATAAAGTAGTATTTTTTTAATAAGTATTTTTAATAATTTACAAATTATTAATTACTTATCTTTTGAGGGCTGTTTTGATTATGATCAATTTTATAATGATTAAAATTAAATAATTTATAAAATTGATTTTAAAATGAAAATACTAAAAAGAATATACAGAAAACTTAGAAATGATTATGTCATATGGTTATCGAAGTTTTTATATAATAATAATCATTATTGTTATGGTTTAACATTTGGAGGTAAAGAAAATTGTTATTATTCAATAGTTTGCAAATGAAAATTTTAAAATTTTATTTAAAGCTTTTTTCTGAGTAAATCCGCCTTAATTATTTAATTAATTAAATTAATTTTGAGAATTCACTTAAAATTATTATTGTTATTAATCCTTTGTCTATAAATAACTCTATTTTATAATAATAACATTTTCAACCTTTTTCTATTTTCT